TACTTCTTGGTTTACCTGTTTAGAAAGCCAGCTTCTTTTGAAACTATTTGAACAGTCACACAATTATTTTTTAATAGATTAAACAGTAATGAAGCACAATGTAGGGTTCTAGAAATGTTTAGGAACTTTACAGTCTCATAGAAATTCCATACTTCAGGCTTTGCAAATGGAAGGAAGTCTATTTTGGGGTATTTACTGATGCCTTGTAATAAATGTTATATGAACTGTGTCCACACCTGCTGTGCATGTTGTGACCACACTGGACCGTGTTGTGCTCACGTGATGCCATTGGGACTAATTGGGTCACAACAGAAGGGCGTAAAGTGCCATAAAAAAATTTAAAATGGTGTCGAAAATTCATACCTGTGAAAACTATATGCTGTTGAAAATAAGGCTGTAAATCTTGATTAGGAAGAGTAGACAAGAAATGAATTGTTCCTTTGTGATATAAAGGGGTGCTTTATCCAAGGTCACAACTGTAGAAGGAGAGAGACCCTTGAAGGTCTCTGGATAACTAGGAGAGAAAAAAAGGACCTTTGTTCAGAAAATTATCATAGACATCAGGCTGGTAAGATTCAGTGGATGAGATCTTTCATAGGCAACCAGAGGTACAGTACTAAACTCATGAATAATAGGGATTTCAGGTGATTTGATGCTTCCTGTAGCCAGACTGTCAGTTGAGGTTGCTATTGGAATAATGGAAATTGGTGACAAGTTCTGCAACTGAATGTGCAAAAGGCAACCAAGAGAGAAGTTCTTCTACAGGGGATTTGAGCCAGGATGAAGGAACTGATAGTTAGTGCCAGGCCGAGGGAAGAATCTTTGAGAGTGACTATGAAATGAGTCTTGGGAAGAAGGGTGAGAGAACCTTCCTTCTTTGCACAATTCTTCACTGTAGAAGTCAGTCTCAGCCCAGTGATTATTACAATAATTTCCCAACTGTCAGAAAATGTTGTCAGTCTCAAAGAGGGAAGAAACTAATTAAAGAATATTCAGGTAAGTCAGGTGTGGTAGTTGGATTTTTTTTTCAGTTAACTGTTTCTAATTAGTCCTGTTCTGAGGTGTTTAAAGATTAAACTGATAGTATTTTGGAGCCACTGTTGTCTGTCTCTGCTACCTGGTGGAGAATGAGTGGAGGTACTGGACAACTGGAGCAGAGTAGACATAACACTACTTTTTAAAGAGGAGGAAGAGAGAAGTTTTTTTTCTGTAGACTAAAAGGATGTGCTGTCATCAGTGTTTCAGTCCTGGAAAAATACTGAAACAAGTAAATGCACACTGCTTTTTTAGCACCTGAAAGTACAAGAATAGCCATCAGCATGGATTTGTCAGAAAGATACAGTCTTTTACTTCTACAGTGGCCTTGTGGACAAAGGAAAAGCCTTGGATATTATATTTCAGTTTTCATAAGTCTTTGACACTTTCACACAAGACATGCTTTAGAGCAAGCTGGGAAATATGGTAAACATGTAACTACAGTAGGATGGGTGAAAAACTAGAAACTGTTTAAAAAGGAGCTCACTATCAAAATGAGATTTATGAAAAGGAGTTCTGCAGGGATTTGTGGTGACTCAGTATTTTTATTAATGATGTGAATGATGGAATAGAGTGTATACTTACTAAATTTGCAACAATACAACCTGGGAAGGACTGCAAGTACATTGCAGGACAGGGTTAGAATTCAAAATACTCTTGATAAATTGTAGGTATTTTCTGCAAAAATAAGATGCTATTCAAAAACATCAAATGCAAGGTGTTTACACAGCAATAACAAATTGCACAAATACAGCATGAAAAATCACTGGTTAGAGAGCAGTTCTATAAACAAGATTATAACGGATTACAAGTTGTATATGAATTTACATCGTCACCTTCTAGAGGAAAAAAAAACAAAATCGGTACACACAGGGAAAAGCAAGGACCACCAGTCAGCAGATAGTTCCAGTGGTAAAATATTTTGAGTGGTTGGTTTATGAATTTTGATCTCTCCACAAAGTTAAATTCATGACTTTGATATGTGAAGGTAACACATATACAGCTTTGTACTCAGAAAATTAGATCATGCGTGAAAAAACACACAGACTATACTCCCTTTTATGTAATTTCTGTTTAATGATAAGGCTTAGAGTGGTTATTTATTTATTTGTTTTGCATTGCTTGATTGAGTCAGGAGAAGATATTGAAAGAGATCAAGCCCATAATAGAACAAGTCTTGTACCGATTGCATACAAGACTGCAGGGATGTAGTGAGACTAATGTAATATACTAACTTCAACTAATTTTAAAATAAATATCAAACACCAGTCTTTAGATCCTCTAGCAATGAAAAATATTATCTTGATATGTATTATTCATGTGTAAGGTAAATTGCGTTCTAGCTCTTTGAATCCACAGGACTCTGAAACTTTCCAGGATTTTGCAAAATCCAGTCTGTCTTCTGTCCTATGTGTGTTTTACCTCCTTGGTGTTACTTGGAGATTTTTGTATAAGCTTCACGTTCTGATTTCACTTTGCAGTTATCCTTCTCCAGATTTCCTAGGCACATGTGTAGTTTTCTGGATGATAATACACCTTTTAAAGCTACTGTTATATTGTCAAGCCTTTTAATACATTTTAAATGGTTTAGCTCTGTTAATTCTGCCACAGTCTTCTTTAAGGGCATTTACAGGTATGAATCTTTGATGACAGTGGCTTTCTGAAGTTTCTGGTTTTCAGTCCTCATTCCCCAAACTCTGAGACATTCTTTGCTGAAGCTATAAATTTCTGGCTTCTGTGAACAAAAATGAGTAAAATTAAGAAGAAGTCCCCAGAAAATAACAATACCTGGATTGACCCATTTCACCCATAATTTGTAGCTCCTTCATTTTAGCATCATCTTCAGAAACCTTACTGACTTTTTGTTGGCAATATATCTGTTCAGCTTCTTGGTGTGGAAGCTGCTCCTAATGTTTTGGTATGCTAATAGTGCACGGTTCACCCCTCCTACTCCTTGTTTCTTATCATTTATATTAATACAATGAACAGAAATTACTTTTTCCAATTTGTGTTTATACAGTATACTGATTATATAATTTCTTCCTGGGGCACCCTTTGTTCCTGAAGCTAAACAACACCTTCAGAATTCTTCAGTTCTCTTCAGACTAATCTAATTGACCTTAAATCCTTTCACAGTGTTGTATTTCAAGAGTTTCCAGTCCCTCATCCCCCACCTGCTCTCATACACCAAATTTCCTTTGTATTTCTCTTCTCCTAAGGCCTGAATGTAGAAAGTAATCTCTGTGATGTCAATGGATGGAACAGTTGCCTAAAATCTGAATTTTGAATTTTAGAGCTGGTTTGAGATAACAAGAGATTAGCATTGAACATGCTTTTGTCTTTTAATGGCTATATACCATGTTTAGCGTTTAAATCACCAGAGATTTGTAAAGTTGAGCTGTTTTGTTTGTGGGACCCTGTCTCTGAGTTCAGGGAGTAGCAGCTGAAGAGATGTGGTGGCATTGACTCAGTTTTGTGTCTACACTTGAGCTGTTCCCAGTTCCTTATTTGGATCATTTGAAAATCCTTCTTTAGTGCACATAAAAGTTTGCATTTGTGTATGAGTATTGTCGTATCCCCTGAAATGGAGGCACTGCTGATGAACTGATGCTTCTGCAGAAATTATAAGGACCTTTATTTGTAAAGTGTTCTTAGCAAAGTATAGGCAATACAGGTAATTGTAGAAGTTTGTACTTTGAATTTGAGAACATTTGCATTTACTGAGGAAAACAATGTTAAATTTATCTTGCAAGAATTAATTTTAGATGTAGTTATTGCTGATGTAAATAACATATTCTGTTTGAGTTCTTTTGCTTTCTCCATAACAGGCTTATTGGTACTAAAACTGTGTGGTAAAGTTTATTATTTAACCATTTTTATTTTGCCCAAACTGTTGTCTGTTAAGAGAAACTTGATACTAGCTGGACATGGGAGATTTCTTAATTTATTTTTTTTAAATGAAAAAAGTCAGAAATACAAGCTGAACTGTAACATTGGAACACAAGAGAAAAATAAATACTTGGAAGATTAATATGGTCAGAAGGAAGAAGACAGACAGAAAATAGAGTAACAGTTATAAGATAATCCTTGCAGTTTCATTCAACTATTTTCTTTCCACTTCTCCTAAATCCCCTCTACCAGTGCAAAAGAAAGTGACTATGCTGGTTTTCACATGCTTATGCAAAATCTTTTTCTAGTGAATAGGTGCTGTACACACAGTGATTCATTAGACACTGTATGATATAATTAAAGAACACAGAGCAGAAATTTCTGAAATATACTGATAGACCAGCATTGATTAGTTTTACTTTTTGGATTAAGGACATTGTTTTTTCCTAATCTCTCTATTGTTTTATAATGCTGTTTGTTAATTGTAATGCACAGCAGTGTCTTTCAATTATGAAATAGCATTTTAAAACTCGGAAACACTTTCCCTGTAAGAAGCACCACGATATGATCATATTTTGCTGAGAAAGAAAATCTGTAAAACTTTTTTCCCAGATCTCACTTTGATGTCAGGTAACCTTCATCACAACTCAAGGCCTTTTCCATAATGGTGACCATTTATCTAGACAAAATGACCCTCTAGTGCCCATTAGCACTGCTTATGAAATGGCAACTAGGACATGATGTGTTACCTACCTCCTGTATAGAAGTCCCAGTGGCCTCTGAAGGAAAGTACTAATCTTCTTTGAAAGTGTAGAGCTTGCTTCTGGAAGTAGCCTGTGGATTGGACATGAAGAGTTGGTTTCTTTCATTGGCAAATACTGATGAGGTTAAAGGGCTTTCAAAAGTCTTATAATACGGGGAGACAGATTTGTTCATGATTTTAAAATAACTAATAAATTCAACAAATAATCTCCTTCCTATTCTCCCATTTGTTCCAAATATGTTTTAAAAATATCACTGGAAAATGACAGAAATACTTCAAGTGTGCTTTGCTTTTTTTTGCTTTACCCTTTTAGCAGACAGATGATGCAGCACAGACCGACGGTCAGCAACAGACACAATCTTCTGAAAACACAGAAAACAAATCACAGCCAAAACGGCTTCACGTCTCAAATATACCGTTCAGATTCCGGGATCCAGATCTTAGGCAAATGTTTGGTGTAAGTATTCACACTTTATTTATGCTTTTTTATATTTGCATTGCAATAGGTATTTTATAGTATAGGCAATGGTGAGAGCAGTATCTCTGATTTAGGCTGTTTAATAATTTTCAGTAAGGATTCTCTTTTCATGTAATTATAACCAAACATCTGATTTGCCTGTCACAACTCGGAAAAGAGATTCTACTGTTTCTACTGTATGTGATACAGATGGATCTGTTTTAGGAATTATGTTGGGTTTTTATTGTATTCAAAAATAATCTGTCTACATTGGCTTAAAATAATGAATGCATATATATTACTGCTGTACACATCTGGATTTATATGCCTGTATGTATTGATTTTGAAGATAAAAATTTTTGTAAAAAAAAAAAAATTTTTTTTGTAAAATACTCAGTGCTTGACCTCATGAGCAGGGAAACCAAATCTGTAAAAGTAAGATATATGCTGAATTTAAGCAGGAAGTCCAGGAATAGGACTCCTCACCCATCTCCACAGGTACTGTAGGTCTGTAAGCTTCTAAAGTTTTTGCCAGCATTTTTCTATAAGTCTAAATTTTTGCTTTTGCCCAGGCCATTAGCTTCCTTCAAGGGCATTGGCTGTGTTTGTGATATCTCATATGTGCCATCAATTCTATGCTCAGAACCCTGAGAGGTTAGACCAGGTTTCTCCTCCCTGCTCCAAGAAGTCCTAGGTTTATTTTGAAATGTCACTAAATAAAATCTAGAAATACTACTTGTTCAGCTATGAGAACCCAGCTTTTCGTTTTCCAAGTTAGTACTCTTAAGTATTTGTGTTACTCTTGCTTTTTTATTTCTGACTCACTAAAACTTAATCCTCTTCTGCATTAGTTTGTTATACAGTGAAACATCAAGTCCTTCATGGCACTAGGCTTCCCTCCACCTTTCATGTACGGTTCAGGTGTTTAAGTTCTTCTAATGTCTTTGTATGTGAGTTAAGACATTATGTTTTTCAGTATTTATTTCTATGGCGTGAAGAAAACAGACACTGGAAAAAGAATCATGGTATAGTACTGGGAAAGGAGAGTGACTGTTTTGCCATATCTGACTTGCTACAAGTAACCTCCCCAAAATGCAGCTTATAGATCATCAGCAAAATAGCAGAAGGCATAATAATTAACCATCTAGAGAAAATTGTGCAAATTTATTTAAATTAAACAAACCACTTAAAAAACATTGGATTAAATGCCAAGGAATATTTTTTGGGGGTGGATTGTAGTTATTTATAAGTGAATAAATGCTAAGTATCTTTTCAGTATTTCTAAGCCTTAGGTCTGAAAAGACTGACGCTGGAGAATGGCTAAAGTTTTCCAGTTTTAGAATGACTTCATAACAATAAACTTTTAGCTTCTGAATTGATAGAAGAATGAAATTTCTGCAAGAGTGAGTTGAAATATATTATATGAAATAAGGTAATGCTGCATCATGATCATGTTATACACATAGCAGATTTTCTCTTTTCATGGACATAAATACAGCAGAGGAGGATTGCTTAAACATTAAGTCAATGTCTGCTGTTAATATGTTAATTAGATGGTGAATGCAATAGTATAAAATAAGTTAAGGGATAACAAATGATGGCTGATTTTTCATAAACAAGTTGAAGCACTTCAATAAGCTAGGGAAGGAATACTGCCCATTCTGACCTGTAATTGTGTATTATATCTTAAATTCTTAAATGGCTGGAGTATCAAGTGATTTCTGCAGTTCCTTGGACTCTTGTTACATTACTCTTCGTTTGCCTGCCTCTAGTTCCTGCCTTTTTGTTTAATGTATTATGTCACTTATCAGTGTTAACACTGATCCATACTGCGTGCTAATGACGCAGGAAATAACAGCATCACATCACAAGTTGTGTCATATCAGAACATGTTCTAAGTAAACCCTGCAAAAAGTCAAACATTTATGCTCTTACAAATCCAGTAGAACCTTTTTCTTTGGGACAGCGACTGCAGTCAAGTTCTGTGTGTGTGAACAATGCTTAATGATTGTGACTGCTATTGTAAGGTCAGTAGTAATAACAGTTACTACTAATATTATAATACAAGTGCAATTATGAACAGGGAAAAATCCTCAACAAGTAAATATCCATTCTGATCTTCCAAATTATACTCTAGAAATACAAGAATTGCTTAGGAATTAATGGTTATCCCTTTTCAGCAAGGGTGGAGAGAAGTCCTTATTCCTTGAAGCCAGCAACAGAGCTCCCAGCTGGTTTCATTTTATTCCTGTAAAGCAGAAGTAACCAAACTCCTTGACCCATTCTGGCAGGCAGCTGCAAAAGGTCTTCTGAACCAAAGGTTCTTCAGCGGAAAGGATGACCAGAGGGCAGCAATGTTCATGCAGCTGTTAATCTTGTCTTGTTAGTGATGTTTATTAGACTCCCAAGCAAAGTAACCCAATAGTGAATTACAAAGGAAAAAAGTGGTGGTGGCAGGTGGACTGGATAGATCATGAGGAAGTAACCTACTATGTGTAAAAAAAAAAAAACAAACCAACAAAAACTTTGGGACTTTCACTACACTGTGATCGCAGTTTAATGATAATTTCTTCTTTGTCAGGTGGCTTCACTGAACTTAAAGTTCATAAGATGATAGTGACGAGTGTTGTAATGTTGATCTGGCTCTTCAGTGTCCTTTGTGGTGCTTGACTATAATTGTTTTTATGTTCTTTAACTTTTTATGAAAGAAGTATTGAAGTTATCTTATTTTCGTGTAACTTTTCTATTTTTTTGCAGCAATTTGGTAAAATCTTAGATGTCGAAATTATTTTTAATGAGCGAGGCTCAAAGGTAAGCAGTTTAATTCACCCATGGAATTTTCTGATTTGTTTACAATATTTATATGAGTAAAAGGAAACAACTGCACTGCTTTAAGAAATAATGTCTGAAATTCCTTGTTTAGTGAAAACATCTGAGCTGTCATTCAGTTTGAAAATCACTGGACTCATTTGATAACTTTTAAAGGGGGCAATTTCAACTACTCCAAACTGTCATCTGTTTTATGGGAATGTTGATTTCTTCTATCTTTATTCTTCAATGGTAATTATCTTCTTTATTTTATGAGTCCATACTTACAGATATTCGTAGGCAGGTTTGTATTAATACAGGTATTTTTTCCCCTATTGAAATGAAAGCTTATAATGATACCTAGTAACTGTTCTCTTTAGTAATTAGCTGAGAAAATATGTGATTGTTCCAGATTATCTAAGTGCAGATGTTTTCCTCTTTAGTTAAAGCTTCAGTACACCAACCCTTTGAAAACAATCAATTTTAACATTTATTCAATTAAAAGAGTTGTTACTGTATTGCAAACATTTTTTGTCCTGAAAATTACTTTGCCTTAAATGCATACTTCAGTTTATTCAATATTTAAGAAATAAAGCAAGATAGAGTGGCTATGACTACATTAGCATCGTTATCTGGTGCAAAAGTGTAGCCCAGTAAGTTTCACCTATGATATCAGCTGCATTATCAGGGTTTATGTGTGTCATCTGCGTATTTTTTTCCTTTTCCTGCCATGTCAGACACACTAGAGTGTTTATCCACCAATGTTTCGGTCTTCCTGTAACTCTCATATATGATTTATTATTAGCAATGGAATTCTTTTCCTGTTATAGACATACTGTAATCTGTCATTTTTAAGACTCTGATATATCATAAATTCCTCTTAAATCAGATATATTTAAATTCTTTTATTTTTTCCCCTTAATGTGTTTGTATTTATATTCTAAACTTAAAGCCACGACCTTTTTTTCTTTTTTAAGTTTCCTGGTTTATATTTCAAAATTATTCAGACATTCATTAATTAGTACCCTTGTCTGCTAGCCACTTTTTCAGTAAACAACTAAAATGTATGGAATTTGGTGGCTTACAGTCTCCTACTCTGTCTGAAATTTATTATCATTAAATTATGGTGGTTCAATAGTGTTTGCAAAAGCTGTTGATTGTCCAGAACCTGCTGGATAGTAGTATAAATTTCAAAAGACATCCCACACTTGCCATCTTTGACTGGTTCAGTTGAAGATGGAGTGGAACAGAACATACATGTCATGGTGGGAGGGGTGGTTTACACTTTTATTTGTCTATTAAATTTTTCACATATGGGACTTCCAACCACCACGTCTGCATCACACTGCATAAGTACAAAGCTTTGTAAAAGTATCTGGGGGATGGGATGAGGAGATATTTCTGAATTATTTTTTTTTAATAGTGATCTTACAGTAATGCAAACATCCCAGTGCCTTGTGCCAAAAACAAACTTCTAGAAAGGATATCACAAGGAAGAGGTTTTCCTAGGTAGGCTTGTAACATCGCTGCTCAGTTACACAGTCTGTGTTAGAGACTCTAACACCTCTTCTTGTTAATACTTCTGCACCGTCCAGTGCTGTGCTGGTGCATCCAAGCTGGCCATGCAAAGCTACTGAAGGTACCTGAAGCAGTTCTGTGGTGCAACTCATTGCCTCTGTCAGCTGCTTTTCACCTTGCTTAGACTTGTTTTGGGTATAGCTACATAGTATTTTGATTTGCAGATGTACCTTAAATTGTCTCAATTAAATCAGAAGTTAGAAAAAAAACCAGAGGATTAGGAATGCAAGGGGTGTGTGGGGAGGTGTTTTTGGTTTGGCTTTGTTGTTTTTTTTTCTTTCTTTTCTTTTCTTTTCCTTTTTTTTTTTTTTTTTAATCTGATCATTTCATGTCCATTCTGTAGGATTTAAGATGCACCAGATTAAAGTCCCATTCCTGGCAGTGCTTATCTATGTTTTCATAAAATCCCACTGAAACTGAAAGGACTACTAACTGGTCACAAATTGAGTACAGGTAAAAATGTTTGCAGGATCAAAATTCAAATTTATTTCTAGCTGCAGTTTGGCATAGAGGAATTGCTAGAAATTTGTTTTTGCTTGTTTCTGTTTATGTTTATTTTTTCTTATTCCAATAATTAGTATTTTAAAAGATTCTTGCAAAAACAACATAAGTAAGCTAAGAGTTACGAAAAAAGGAATTATGTATTCAAAAAACATAACACTGCAGCACCACCATAAAGCACAAAATAATTTTGCAGAAGGGAGTCTCTCCATAAAAGAAACCCTAAAATAATTCAAGTTTCATACTATAAATTTCTGGGGATTTTGGGACCATATTCATTAGTAAGATAACTTTGCTAGAATTGTGTGCAGCAACACTGATGACTTTTGAAACTCTTCTTTTTATAAGATTTGCAAGAATTTCAGTACTGTTTTGGTGTAGATCTTTCTTACAACCTGTGTTAAATAAATGAGGCTTACTTTTGCCAATTCTTGAAGCTTTTGGTTAAGGTATCATTGAAAACTGCTGGTAACTTCTTACCTATCTTGGAAGGACAGTTTGAAATACAGCTTCCATTGCTGTGCATATTTTAATGCTACTCTGCTGTTTTACCACTGAAGCTCTCCATGGAGATGCAAATGGCTTTTGTGTCGGACACAACTGCAAGTCTGCAAAGATATAGGAACATCAACAAGTATCATTCTTTTACAGTTGTAAATTAATTTGCTATGCAGCAACATACTACATATATAACTTCATAGATTTGTTTGTGTGTATATGTATTAATATATATCTAGTATATTATATATGAGCATATATTTCTTCAATTAAGAAGACCTCCAAAGCATCTCCCAAATTAAACCAGAATCTTTTCATGTGCTATCTTGGCTGTTATTAAATAATCTAAGACATTTTAAAAACAAAAGGTAGAAACTTATATTACCAATTCATAAAATACGTAGTACACTAAGCTAAAGTAGCAGCTGAATCAGCTCCTTATAAAATTAATGTTAATGTGTTTGTGTAGGTATTTGAAAGTGTGATGAATGAATCTATGTTCTGTGATTGAGTTTCTGTGTCAGCTAGGTAAAATTAAAGATTTGCATAAATAATAAGAGCTTAATTTAAATAGTGTTAATTATAAGAAGAAGTACAACACAAGAAATTAAAAAATTACAATGAGTATTCTTTTCAGAATCTTTGAAGTTCCTGTCTTATCTTGGCTTGTGGCTCCACTCTGTATCTCTTTCTAATTTTTTAATATAATTAGGTTTTTATCTTTCCCTTTAGTTGTTTGAAAAAATATTAACTGGTAGTGCTGTAAGCTAAGAAGACTGATTCAAAATTTTGATGAAACAACTCCCACTAAATGATGGCAGTTCTGAGAAGAATTTGTTCAACAAGCAGGAGAGGGGAGAACAAACAGAATTGGGGAAATTTGTGCTATTGTATGAAGCTAGGATCACTGGATTGATTTCAGTGATGCTTTCTGCTGTGAAACTTTCTTCATGGCATCTTAAATTATGAGGGGTTTTTTTGAGAGCTTTTAAAAGATGGGAGGATGCAGTTGAAGAGATAGAAGTTTAAAGTTCAGGATAGGATTAGGTATAAGCAAAGCCTATGCAGGCATCTAAACCACATGAATTAGTACCAAGGAGGGGAATTTACTTTCTCTCAATTCTCCTGGTGCTTTGGGGCAAAAATGCCTGGAATCAGGTGCTTTGAGAATGGCTTCAGCTAGGGGTGGAAGTGCTGCTGGAGCATTGCTGGGCTCAGGTTGAATTCCGGGTGTCATGAAAATGCAAAAAAAAGAACAACAAACATGTTTAAGCTACTTTGAATGGAACATAAACTGCTACTGTATAGAAATGTCACTTTCTATGCTATAAACTGGCATAACTGTGTTGAGTAGGTAAAATAAGCCAAATAAATCATTTAATGGTCCTGATAGTTTCTTAACTTCTTTATCGATCATTGATTAATTAGTTTTGTAGTTAATATCCATTGTTTCTTTCAATTCAGTTTTGACTTTTTTATATTTGATCTCTTCTTTGTATAAAAGGTATATTTTTTTTTTAAATTTTTTTTTCCCCTAGTCACTATGTATATAATAGGTAGAACTGCAGAAAGTAAGGGGATGAATTCTGACCACAAAAGTTAGCGAATGCACTTGTCATGGTTTAGGACTGGGCTGGCCACTAAATCCTGGACAGACACTCTCAGCACTGAAGAATGAGGAGCCATGATCCATGGCTTATTGCCGAGGTACAGAATAGAGGAAAGCTTAAACTTGTAGGTCAAGCTAAAGTAACAATAACCAAAAAGGTTGTCCTAGGACTTCAAATATGTGCAGCAATGCATACAAATAAAGCAGCCATGAATAACTTCCAAATGTTTCTTGTTATAAAATGCCACGTTTGTAGAAGCTTCTTTCTTTGGCTAACTTTGGGAAAGCATGCAAAGGCATTGTAGTGCTAATGTAAGAATTACTTCAAAGGGTTGGTGTATGTTTCTAAAATGTTTTTCGGTATCTGATTTTTTAAAAAATATTTACCATTGTAAACAATGTTTAATATAATTTAGCCAAATAAAAAGAATTTTAGTAGGACTGGAAATGTTTGGTTAGCCTACTATTATAAAGCATAGCATTTGTCATAAGCAGAACTTCATATTTGCCAAGTATTCTCCTGTCCCACTAACACAGGATTATGGAGTTTTACCAGTTGCATGTTCTTTATGTGGAAAGTAATATACATATATAGTAAATAACCAGTTAAACTTATTCAAAACATTTGCATTTTTATTCCTTTATCAGAGTTTCTTTTCCTATTCACATCATGTGATTTTATTTGATCTGTTAATACAAGAAAGTTTATACTTTGTTCAAAAAGTACTTTTGTTTTGTTGGTGGTTTTCTTTTCTTTTTTTCTTTTATAAAAAAATAAGTAAAGGCTGTATAGTTTGACAACAGTTTAAGTTACCCTAGTGTTGCATGGGAACAATGTTTCTTATGATCACAACAGCATGATTAAGTAGGCAATGTTTTAGAGTATATTGACATTCAGTGTTGAATTTTGTGCACCTGTTTTTTATTTCGTTGAGGTATCTGCATGTCATTAAAACGTGGTTCATTTTCTTTTCTCATTAGTTCATTTTTTTTCTATGTGAAGACACTAATTTATTTTAATTTCATTTTCTTATTGTTAGATTTATTTTCCTCTGTAGTGACATGTAGAAAGGTATTTTTGGTATCATTCTTTGAATTTCTCAGAGGGTATTATCTAACTGATAACAGAAAAAATTTGTTCACATTTGTCGCTTATTTATTGCACATCTCAATACAATTATAATTTTTCTAATTTGCATGTTACAGAAATGAAGCAAGGACAAGAAAATATTAAATTAAAGAGAGAGAACATAAGCAAACAAGTGGTCATTGACTGAAATAATAATGTGCATGTTGTTTTCCCCCCTTCTCCCTCCTGCATGCAGGGATTTGGTTTCGTAACTTTCGAAAATAGTGCTGATGCGGACAGGGCGAGGGAGAAATTACACGGCACCGTGGTAGAGGGCCGTAAAATCGAGGTGCATGTTCAAAATATTTTCCTTTTCATCTTTTTTATAAATGTCTGCTTCACTCTCATTTGTTGTTTCAGATGCATCATTGGTGTCTTCTGTGTGCTCCCCTTTCCCCTTCCCATTGTTTATATATATATTTATATATAAAGTGAGAGAATCTGGCCTTACTTGGGTTTTTTATTATTATTTCTTTTGTAATTACTATTATTATTATTATTATTGCTGAAAGGTGGATGACAGAATTGAAAAAAAAAATGAAAGCTTTAGTATTTTGAAGTTATTATTTTGGATGTTTTGTAAATCAATGGGTGCAGTAGATTCCAAAAACCAGCCAACAAAAAAATTAAAAAAATAATAAACAATTGAGAACAACAAAAAAAAAGTGTGACAGACAAAACAAAAACAAACAAAAGGTTGGTTTTTTTTGTTTTGGTTTGGTTTTTGTTTTTCTTTTTTTTTGCTGCAGGGTTGATGTGGGATTCACAGTGGCTTTTAAAAAATTCAGATTGGAAAAGAAACATCCAAAAGATGTACAGGAAAAAGAAACAAAGCCAGACAAGAGATCGACCAATTCTAACATATCATTTTTAATGAAACCATCAGGCTACTTTGGCTGGATGGCCTGAGCCATTCCTATGTATTAAGAAACCAACAGAAATGCGTTTCAGTACCACTGGATCCCCTTCAATACTGCCTCAGTCATATTTGTTAGAATAAAAAAAAATACCAATTGAAAATGCTGTCGTCTTTTGAGTAAGATGTTGCATATTTTGCCTTTTCATTTTCCCCCTTCGACGGTAGCGCTTAGGGCCCTCACCAAACTCTCAGTAACCATGGTAACTGTATACATACCCATGCTGGCGATGGTGCTGAATGGTAAGTGGAGAAGTCCATCTGCCGTTTCACGTATTTAGCGCTGATATACCACGTGAATTTTTTTGACTTGTTGTATTAAGTTTTCTTGATGCTACATTTTTTTCTATATTGGTACGCCTGTAATTGAGTGTACGTTTTAAGCAAGCCTGGGAGGCACTGATTGGATTGAGGATATGACTTCGTGCACATCTTACTCAGATTGTTAACTCCATATTGTGTTAAATAATGCACCCTCTTTTTATCCTTTTGTTAGCTGTGATTTTAAAGCTTGAATGATTTTGTTAATTCTTGCAATGAAAAAGGCTCTTGTTCCAAGTGTTGAATGCTAGATGTTGCTTTTCCAATGGTACTTCTCTTCTAAAGGGTTATGTTGCACACTGCTAAAATTCGTTTGTCCCTTTTTTTGACATTTTCTTTGTTTCCTTGTACCTTTTCCCTTCTACTCCACTGCATGTTCCTTCATATAATCTTTTTTTCTCCTGTTTGGAGTATTTATTGTATCAGTGTTATCATGGAATACAAGCATGCTCTTAAGTCTTAAATTATGCAGTACCTTTTAATTTGCTTTTAATGTCTTTTTAAAGTTTAAATGATATGATGTTGCTTTATTGAAATGATTTGTAAGTTAAAATGGTTATGAAAGTAAATGTAATTATAAATAGTATGATTTTGTTATGCACCCGTTGCCTTCTAAAAATTAAATTGCATTTTATTTTTACATGACTAATAGCAGTAATAATGCATGCATTTAATAGTAACATGGACCCTCCCTGTAACCCTTTCTAATCCAGTGTTCTATGTGCTTAGGTAAATAATGCAACAGCACGTGTAATGACAAATAAAAAGACCGTCAACCCTTACACGAATGGTAAGTGCATGAGATCTCAGTGCTTTGTTTTAATGTCAATGCATGTGAAACATCGCTCTCCTGATGAATGGGTGGACTCCTCTTCTGATGCAGTGTCAGAATCTGCATCTCCTGCATCTCCTTGGGCTCAGGCTTTATCCAGTAAACTAAACCATTATATGACTGGGCATAAATTCCATCTGTATATTGTTCAGCTAAATCACAGCTGTGTGGGAATAGCATGCGTCATTTTGCCTGGTTGGAATCCGAGTGTTGAACCACAGTGGCTTTTCATAGGAAAATATCCCTGATAGGAGAGTTTTATTCTCTTCTAGCTTTGTGCAGTATTAACATTGTTATGAATGAACTAATCAGAGGATTCAGTTTTGCTTGAATGATGGAGATAGAGGGGCCAGTAAGAAGACGGTCTCTATCAGGCATCAGATACATTTTAATACCAAGACAGGCATCTAATCAGAGATGATTTTGTCTTTCTTCCACAACTTGTTAGAAGTAAAGGGCAAACCATAACTGAGTGCTGCTTCCAGTGTTTTCCCCCTTGGAAAAATCTAAATTCCAAGCTATCTAAAAAAATCATTCTAATACCGACCTAAGTTGGTATAAAGTTGTACATCTATGATAGAAAAATAATCCTAGATGTTTGAGGGGTTTGGAATCAATACATTTTAAAATGTTTTCTTTGTCAGTGTTTGATTATATGCTTGAGTTGTTTGCATTTGCTAGGTCAGAAAATTCTATCAAGTTCCTAACTAAACAATGATACATAAATTGAAGTTAATTGCAATTACATTTTACAGTTTTACTAGATTTTGTAGTTATAATTATCTGCTTTTCAATTTAATTTAATTTTTCCCATCCAGTAGAAAGCAGATGAAATCTGCACGTACATCAGTAAAGGTTTCCACAGGTATATTAGACTCTTTTCCATTTTGAAGTATAATGGATCTTATTTTCTGTATCTGAGGTCTCATTAGTGAGGTTTTACTAAAATTCGAGGCAAACAGTGGCTTCATTTTTTAATGAAAGAAAGAGTTATAATTTTTTCCTACAAGAGCAAAATTAAAATATAGTGCTGGTTTTCATTTTGGCGTGTGATAATTTAGCTAGTTAAAGTTATCTGGACAAGAGAGGTCTGAAATTCCTCATGCTTTGTCAGAAAGTCTCTCCCTCATTTTGTATGTAATTGTGGAACTTGGCAAAGGATGCAGATGAGAAAAATCTCCTTCACTTTTACTGACTTCATCACGGTGAATCCAGCAAAAGAGACACAAAGCTCAACTGGATCATATAACAAGATATTGTTACAATGAGGAACTAAATTAGCTATATGTATATGATACTGTGAACTCTGTCTGCTATATTGTAATGACAAAAGGATGAAAGTAGTTTTGTTATAAATTATGTATATTTAGTATTTATGTTTTCCTAAGGCTACAAAACTCTTAATGAGCGAATAACATCCAGTACTGAAGGGAGGGAATGCTGGAAATACAGATGTGAGTTTTTTAGGGGTCTGGTTTTCAAGGCAGTTCACTTCTGTGTCTTGCACTGCAGGATTACTGAGGTCCCACATTATAATTTTTTAGTATCCAAAACCAGAGTGATGAAAATCTCCTGTTAAGTGTTTCCTTTTTGAAGTGTTTTGTCTGTCATTTTGCATCCTTTTCCATCTGGACGAGATCTTGCTGAAAGTATGAAACATCCTGTTCAGTGCATAAAAATTAACAGCTATGTTTCTGAATCCATACATCCAAAGTGTTGCAAGTAGGATGTTCGTTTGCACACCTTTTGATGGGTTTGTTTGAAGACAAATTCTGGTTGTAGTCCATATGTTTTTATAATTTTTTTTAGTGTCTGAGGTCCCCTAAAGTGAACACACAAGGAGAATCTTGTTCTTGCATAATCATTAGGAGTGATGAGGGATGTAGCGTAGATGTGCAAGGTGCTTCTTTTTGGTTAATCAGTGCTTGCATTATCAGTCATCCTGACATTGTATGATTTTATGTCTTGATCATTTTGTCAGGAATTTACCAGTGCTATAGCTGATTATTAAAGATTATTGTTGTCTGAAGTAAAGCCCTCATCTTCTAAATAAAACATAAGGATATTTTTCTGGGCTCTTCTATGAGTATATTAACATTTCCAAGAAGCTTCTGACACAGATAGCCAGAAACTTTCTGATTGCGCATGCCTATCTCTTCAGAACCACTTTTTTAATGTGTGGCTGTATCTTTCAAGAAGTATGTGGTGACTGAAATGTTATTGGCAGGTATTCAAAACGTATTTAGGGCACATGTTGTATTATATGAAAACATCAGGCACTTGTATTTATTGTAATTTAAAATAAGATACACTCTGTTTTGTCTTTCATGCCTGAATACTGCTGGTTGTTTGACAACAGGGCTCATGTAAATATGATTGCTAAAGTCAGTAGATTTTAAAACACAAAAACCTAGACATTTTTTAAAATATATGCAACTTCTTTCAAATAAGTGGTTTGCTTTTGTGTCCTAGATGGTTTCTGAAGTAAGTATGCTTTCCAGTGACTTTTGATGATTCCTGAAATGAGCAGTTAATAACTGCTCAGTTGCTAGGAGATCTTTTTTGGGGCAAGTTTATTATCAGACAGGATTGTTTTGATGGCTCACCTCATGTGCTTTGGAAATAGAACTGCCTTTTCTTTGCAAATAATTTCAGTGTCAGGAGTCCTACTTGTGGGTAAAAATATTTCAGAGATATTTTTAGATGCTCCAACCTATCCCGTTCACAGTTACACTTTCTTTGGATGCCCATATTGCAGTGCAGGATGCTCATCCAAATGGCGTAGGGACTAGAAAATTATGTACAAGTAGATTCAGAGAACCACGGCAACGAATGAGGAACATGAAACAGAAGGATAAACATGTTTTAAAGTTTATACTTTTGGTGCCTTGAATTTGACCCTTCTGTTGGTCTAAACTTTGGTTCAAATTCCCAGCCAGCGACTGTTACCACAGTTCAACGCCTCCCCTTTCCTCCCCCTGTTTGCAGGCAGGAGGAGAGCACAGCATGTTGCAGTGCTGCTTTCCCACCAAAATGCCTGGCCCCTAAAGTGCAGTTGTCCTCTTGCCTTGCTGTGCCTTGCTTCCTGCCAAAGCATGTTGCATTGTGCAGTATAATTATTTCCTTCCTTTAGCACTCTTAACCTGTATTTTTTAGATACCTCAACAGAGCAGGTTTTTGGGCAGGCAGAGGGGTTGCTTGTTTCCTTGTTTGGTTTTTGTTTTGAGCTTTTATAGTTTCAACTTGAGGAGGAGTAAGAGAAATGCACAGAATGACACCCACTGTGGAGAATTTGCCTCCTCCAGCGGATGAAGTAGAGTTACTTGGCAGCTGCTTGCTCAGATACATCCACTCCCATCACACTTGATTAACCCACACAGCTATGGGCCAGCGCATTGCTAGCTGACAAGATAAAGTTAAGTTTAATTACTGTTATTTTCATGATGAATGAAGGATTTCCTGTATAAGCTTCAAAAAGTTAGATGAGACAGCCATCGCTGTGAGAGAGGTAAGGAACTGAAGGACAAGAGTGGCTTTCAGCTGTGAAGAGTAATCTGTGTCTTCTAAGATTTTTTTCTTTCTCTCAGACAAATTGTGGCACTGTTAGTGTAACTTAGGAGCTGAGAGGTGTCTGTCAGCTTCTTTGACAGCAAAAGCTGACAGATCTGAAATTCAGTCCAGTCTTTCATTTTGGATGGCATTGTTCAGTGATCTTTTGAGGAAGTAATGAATTTGAAATACAAAATATTCCCTAAGCTATAAAAAAAATTAGATTTTTTTTCTGAAAGTCTCAAAATTTGAATGATTTTCTATTGCACAAAATTTGGCTAAGAGTATTTGTTAAACCATGATATTCCTAAATATAATCCTATAGTATGCAAGACTGAGGGGTCAGCTGAAAATCATCTGATATTTTTAAGAGGAAAGTGGTTTTAACCCTTCTTAGTTGGCCATTTTCCAGCTTCCATAACAACTGCAATTGCTTCTGCAGCACAAATTGCATGCAATGCTGCTCTTTACTATGTTTGAACTTATTAATAAGTTGCATTTCAGGAACACTTCTTGCCTCTGTTCCTGAAGAGTTACTCTAAATAGTTACTGTGCATCAGATAGAGATAAAAGTATTTTTAAATGGTAGGAGCAGTTTTCGTCTGTGTTATTATTGAAATTTTGTATTATACTTTTCCAGTATTATAATGCATTATGATTTTATAGTCTTCTAGTGTGCTTTTTGCATTATATGATATGGCCAAGGCAGAAATAAGCTTCAATACAAGTTTGCATTTACATTTTTCTAATCTTGGTTTTTCTGTTTGAAAAGCCGTATTGTCCCTGTCCTTATTGTATTTTGTTTCCAGCAGCGTAGTTATAGGATCTATTTAGAGTAACATAGTTCTTGAGTTTAAAATAACTGCTTTTCCTCAGTTTCTTTTCTTTATTCCCACTTACAAATGGTGCTTCCCACTCCTCTGATTCAAAGGCACTTTTGGAAAACCCCTAATTTTTCAGTCCCAGTTGTTCAACTTATTGTTCAAACACTTAAGAAAGCACAAAAAATTGTATGAGTGGGTGGATATGCTGTGGAATTTGGACTTAACTGGGGGTGGATCCACCTGTGGCTGAGGAGACTCTCTGATAATCGGCACACAGTTTACCACAGATGAGAGCACTGATGTGTTTGCCAGAGTTTTCTCTTGTTTTCCCCTTCAGTTCCTTCAGCGTTGTTGTCTTTGGCATCACATATGGCTTTGAACACAGGCCCCACTTCTGCAGCGAGCCTGTGCACTCCAGGCTTACCTGGAAATGCTGAATTGGGTGTAAGGACACGACGGCAAATATTTGGAATTTGATCAGAACACATGATGCAGAATATCTCTGGGTTCTGTGCTTCGGTTTTATGCAAGCTGTGGGAGGACGGTGATCATTTAAGACAAAAGCGGTGGCTGGGTGCTACCGGGGTGGGTTAGGTTGGGTATTAGGAAACATTTCTTCACTGACAGGGTTGTCAAGCATTTGAACAGGCTGCCCATGGAAGTGTCCATGCCTGGAGGTGTTTAAAAGACAGGTAGATAAGGTGCTTAGGGACATGGTTTAGTGGTGGACAGGTTATGGTTGGACTCGATGATCTTAAAGGTCTTTTCCAATCAAATAGTAAATTATAGAATTTACGCCAGTATTACATGTCCAGAGAATGACTTGTTTCATGACTTATTTCCATACCTCAGAGTGAGAAAGTTCTGATATTAAAGGTCAGTAATCTAAGATGCCTATAAAACTTACATTAATATCATCATCATTTTTGAAGCCATGTTATCTGTATACCTCTTTACAAAAATAAAATTAAAAAATCATTAGTATTGTTATCACTAATTGCAATATTAACTCAGTTATGTTTTTATGTTTGCTGCAGGCTGGAAGTTAAATCCAGTTGTTGGTGCAGTTTATAGTCCAGAATTCTATGCAGGTAAGGATTACACTATAGTTGTCCATGCCATATTTTATTTTAATATTCTTTAAAACATGCAAAAGTAGAGAATATACATTTGGTTTGAGGTTTGATTTCTTTGTTTGATTCATGTTATCTGCAATTCATTTACAGATTTGTGATGCACGTTTTTAAGTTACCTGCGCATGCTAAAGTTTATGTAGAAGATATATTAATACCTTTTTATTGGAAAGTAGATAGTATAGCGTGACATGTACTGCAACATCCCAGTCTTAGATGAGATTTTATGTCTATTTTATTTTATTTATAATTTATTTTATATTTCAGTACAGTCAATTTCCTTCATGAATTATGTAAGCCTAGTGAGCAAGAACAACAAAAATGCATATACATGGACATAGACATACATACTTATAGAACATCTGTGTTTATAATTTTTTCTTTAAATTTTATATTTAGTAATTAAATTTCTTAAAGTTTCTATATTTCTAATCTATATTATCTCTCAAGTCTTCACTGAGATCGAATTCTGATCCTGGTTACAACTCTGAGTTAATGAGATACAGTCTTTTTCTGCTTGAACTTAGTTATGGCTGCCAACAGTTTATAAATGTGCTTTAGCAACAGTCCTGAGGACAAACATGGTTGTACCTGAAAATCCATTTCAGAGGAATTTGAATCCCATCCATAAATATAATCACTACCGAGTTCAAAAAAGCTATTTTTTGAAAGCTAATAATTTACATCTAAGACAAAAATAACCACTGTGACTCCAAATGTTTCTAATAGGTAATAAAGTTGCCTTCCTTTCTCATATTCACAGTCCTATATGAGTCTTCCATGACTTTCATGGGAAACACTTGGAATTTTTCAGTTTTCCATTTGGATCTGTTTTTCAGTTGTGTCTGTGTATACTGGAAGTGGTAAATTCCCCTACATTGGTCAGTTGTAAGAGTCAGCTTGACGAGGTGCTGACTCATCTCATTTAAATGATACTTTTACCTTGAAAGGTTGGACTGGATGGTCCTTGTGATCCCTTCGAACCTGGTATTCTATGAAATATCTAATAATGTTATTTTAAAAACAAACAAGCAAACAAAAACCAACCCCCAAAATATTTGTCCATTTTCTCACAGTTAGGTAATTGAAAATAAAGAGGTAATTGTAAAATGCATCCTTTACAGCAAGTAAAGAACAGACACTAGGGAAGTGTTTTTCACAGATAGTGGTTAACCATGGGAGATTGCCTGCAGAATCTGAGGACTCTCCATTCAGGAAGATATTCAAGCTTCTACCAGACAAAGCTGAAAAACTTCCATTAGTTAAGGGACTTCAAGAGATAAAAATTCTTAAATAGAACTACTGTTACAAATGGATATTTATTTTTTTAAAGCTGCCTTTAATGCATCCAGTGCCATCTACTAAGATAGATAAAAATGCTCCAATTAGGGTATTGTGTAATAAAAGTGGCACAGTATAATAGAAATACTAACTTGACATTCATGGAATTGCAATATTTAGTGTGGGCAGAATTTATTTCCTTCCTTGATGTATGCCTACATTGAAAACAGGAATTTAACATCGATCTCGTTTGAGTAGTTAGTGAACCAACTCTGAACCTGCATAAATTAGAAAGTCAGAGTTATTAGTCATTTTATATAAATGACTTTGTGTTAATGACAAATATAATATTATTCCCATAGTACAGTAATCAGTTTTCTAATACGTATGCAGAATTAACAATCTGACTTATAATTGTCTCATGAAGTAGGGCATGAAGAGTTCACATAGTTTGTAAATTAAAATCAATATTTTCAATCTCTCCTGAAGGTAATTTTCCTAATTTACTGGACTTTTCCCTAACATTTATTTTGTCTTTTAATTATAAAATGGCAGGTTATTGATTTTTTTGGTATAACCTCCTAAAGTCCCAAGTGCATTTTTATTGCCAACATGAGGGAGGTGTTTGCCCTTCTTAATGAGAATCTTTAATTACCATTAGAAGAGTATTAATTTAATTTCATGAATTATGGTATGCACTCCACCACATCTACGTAGAAAGTTCTATCAAGACACTTCACGTATTTCAGATTTTTTTTTTCTATTTACATATGCAGGCAGTTTTGTTTTTTCTTTTAAATGCATATCAAATACATATTTTCTGTATTGACTAAAAGATAATATTTTCTCAGAGATTTTAATATTCTTTTAAGCAATTTAGTTTACAAAAGTAGAGCTCTGTGCAGATGTCTTAAAGTCTTTGGAAAATAAAACAGTAAAAGAGCAAAGCAATTCTTGCATGCTGTAATGGAATACTGTGACATATCTTTGCTTTTGTGTCCCTCCCACCACCTTGCTTGGAGACAAAGCAATTGTACTTTTGAAGTTTATAAAATTAGAAATGTGATTTTTTTTTAAAGGCAGTCCAAGTTCTATTTGTTTGGTTTAATTATTGTCTACACTACCGTCATGGTAAAATTCTACCAACTCTTTCATAGTAAGTGCAAGAAGTTCCCTTAACTCTTAATAAATGATGAAATATTTGGCCATTTCTGAAATAAAGATGATACATTTGCAGAGAAACTGTTGATTTAAAGGACCTTTAATCTTCATAAATAAGTAAAAAACCAGAAGGTTATACAAAGCTGTCAGGATGGCACTGATGAATGGCAAATTCACCCATTTCTCAATTGCCAGTGAAGACACATGCCGCAAGGCTTAACCGTATTGTGCATCATATCTGCCAACTCATTGCTGTGATTAAATATTCCATCAGCGTGGGCTATAACGCGGTAAAGCTTAACAAGATTCATAAGATGCACCACTTGAATACACATAACCCACTTCCTTGGATAGAGAGCACCCCGCATGCAAAAGAAAATTAGAATTGAGTTAAATTACTCCATAAGACAAGATCAATAGAGAAAGGAAAAGATCCCCTAATGCAATGCAAATCTAAGATATAGTTATGTCCTGACAACTTGAAGCAGACAATTAAAGTCAAATAGGGAGGAACGCAATGTAAATCAACCCTAAAACCTTGAAGATAACGGTAAACAATAGGACCGGTAACATGATTGTTATAGCTCTGCTTTTCTTCTGAGTGTACACTTCCGTAAAAGAAAACCTTTACTGAGGAAACACATGACAGCTGAAAATTGGGACTGTAAGATACATAGCACTTGTACAACAAACACCACGTAAGTAAAGTATTACCTCGGGACTGGAAAATACTATGTATTTACAAAACACTATAGATTTTTCTTCTCAAGTAGGCCTTCTAAGACTGTTTTTCTGACTTTGAAATGCTCATGTTGTAGTAAATTGGAATGCTCCAGAAATCTGGTTATTTAGGTCATGTGGTGGCATTGATATGGATTTCCAGTGACACACTCAGAAAGTGCGATTTGAAGACTGCTGTGGTTGTAATCCCGAGGCCTAGCAAGTGTCCCAAACTACTGCCAACTGCAGCTGTGCTGGAGAGCCGGCTGACTGGCGTACCTCCTGCCCTTCCCACAGGGCTGCTGGAAAATCCTAAAATGACGTTTCATAGAAAACAGAAGTACAGTGATTTTTTTCATTTATCCTTTTCAGCATTTAACAGAATTCCATTTTTCCATGTATCATAATTGAGAGGTAATTTTTTAAAACTTGCCTTATGTCCACATAGTCTCCTAGTAAATAAAAGGATACTATTTAAGGTGCTCTTCATGCTTATGAGAAAAAAATGCTTAATGAAATTATCACTTCCATTTCAGCTTATCTTTTCCAGTAAACCATTTATTAAGTTCTTAAGTAGGTCGTAATGAGGAAAATTGTAAGAAGCACTGTGTGATTCATCTCACAAAGTCTGTGAGACTTGTAACCTGGGAAAAATTTTTCATTTATTTGTACATCCAGCCAATTTAAAATTCATCCCATAGTGATCCATAATTTTGCTATGTTAAGCTAGAGTCTGTTATCCTCCCCCATACGTTAATCTATCACTGGCAAAAACAGATTTGCGGTTTGGTTTCTTTACTAGGAGTAATCTGGTACTTTCTTGCTGTTATTGTGAGTTATTTAATCTTTTGTTTTCATGGTTTGTTATATATAATTTTTAGCTGCTTGTTTATTTTTATGTAGTGTTGATTTTTTCTGTAATACCTAGCCTTCCTTTTAGCCTCGGGCAGTCTGAAAGGAAAGTTCCATGTTGCTCCATTCTGTTATTGCAGGTCTTTCTCTTTTTTCACTTTTGGTTTTTGGAATGATGAATTTTTGTGCAATCTCTTGCACTGTCCTTAATGGAATGTAGAATATTGTTGCACCTGTATTACTACAACATATCAGTCCTTTAAAGCAGGTAGCTTGAGACACAGTGAGGCCATTTTAAAGGTCTTTGCCCTTGTAAGTGGTGGAAAATATATTTTACAACGCACATCTGTTGGAGAGGCATCTTTTTGACAGTTTCAGTAAGCAAGATGGGGGAAGACATGTTACAGAATCTGTATGGAAGCTTCAGTGAATCTTCTTTCAGAGAACAGCTGAATTCAATGACTCCCATGAGAAAATGTTCCTATCTGGTCATAAACAACAAACAATATTTTAAAAAAATTAAAATTTCAGTTGACAGTGGAAAGAGAAGGGACTGAAGACTAGCAAAGAAGAAGCATTAGAGCAAGTCATGGAGCACAGCTCACTGACAAGTAATAGAGATCCCATTGTCCTTTCGCTTAAGCGACTAATTACATATTATTTTTCCTGAATAGCTATGAAGTGTTAGAACTTTTTGAGAAGCTTGTTTCTAGAGTCATTCTATGTAGCTGAGTAGTTGTATTCACCTCATAAATAGTCTTATTCCAGTCAGGACTATTGTAGGCACTCAGTTTCTTGGGAAGTTTGTAGTTATCTTTCCTAGGTGGCTTGAAAACTTTTCCCCATCCGTTAAAAAGAAAAAGGAAGAGCTTGTGCTTTTAACTATTTTATATGCCCTCAGAAGACAAAGGAGTTTTAGATGCCTGGGGCTTTTTAGTGTGCTG